GGTAGCCCAAGACAGACACAGGTAGCCCAAGACAAAATACTTTCGCATCAAAAAAAATCTAAGAGAATTTCAAAAAAGTGAAAAAAATTAAATTTTTTCAGTCTCGAGAAAATCACCCTGTCAAATTTTCGTGAAAAAAAATTAAGTTAAGTAAACATGAGTTTTTTAAAAGCGGGAAATTGTTAATTTTTTTCCGTCGGATTTTCAGGCTTTTTACAAGACATGTGTTTTTAAAACTTATTTTACTTGTGCGTTTCTTTCAATTTTCAGGTACTTTTGAACGCAATAATTCTTTTTGTGTTTTTTTATTTCAAATTTTTTTCAATTTACAGTCTTTTGGAAAGGCCGAGAAGTCTTTTAACTGTTTTAAACATTCCAAATCACACCGAAATTATTCAGGCTAATTTTGTTTCATTGCCGGGAGTTGAAACGTTTGTCCTCGGATTGAGAGACGAACGTCTTAACCACTAGACCACCGCATCATTTGTCGAAAGCTATTGTTCTCTATTTGACCTAATCCTTTTCGATGAAGTTTAAATTAAAGAATAATTTCGGTGGGAAAAATCGAACCTTTCCAATGCAGGATTCGAACCTAAACTTACAACCTGGTAGGCCGGAGCCTAAACCACTGGGCCACAGCATCGTTTATTAAAAGCTCTTGTTAAAGATTCGACTTAATACTATTCGCAGAATTTTAAATTAACAAGACGCCTGATCTGGCGTTAACTCCGGCGCACGTGCCAGTCTTTAATATAGAGCTCCTGAACATAAACAATACAGTTCATATTCGCATTTAGATGCCTTGCGAGTTGCGAACCTATAAATGTTCGATTGCGAAATTTAGAAGCACATCGTACTTTAAAAAGTGTAGAAGTTCAATTGTTCAAAAATGTAAATAAACCGCATGATACATTCGCTTTGTCTTACACTTTGCTTTTGGAATAGGCGCTTATACAGTTATATTAAATCTTCAATCCTGTGCAAACTACGACGTGTCAACGCGCCCATACACGACTACATCATCTTATTAAACGGCGAAATAGCAGCGATATTATTAAAATAGGAACAGAATCTACATGTATTAAATATATTCTTACCCCAATTCAATCTAAACTTAATCGAACAGCATGAAAACAACGGTTTATTTGTTCCTCTTGGAGGAATTGCCGTATCATGCGAGCGAAATCGAATCGCGCATCGGAAAATTAGCCAAAGCTGTACACCACAACTCTTAGAAGATAAGACTGGGACGTAGATAAATACGGTTACATACACATTTCAAATACTAGAATGGTTCGCGCCATTTCAGACTTGCGACGACGAAAAATAATAAAAAAAAAAACAAAAACAAAACAAAACCGAGGCGAATTTTCAACTCCGTCGCTGACGCCGGAGTAATAACAACTTAGGTGGTAAAAATTGCACTTCTCCCTTGCAGGACTCGAACCTACGCTCACAACCTGGTAGGGCGGTAGCCTTAACCACTAGGCCACCGCATCCTGTGTTGATACTTCCTATAAAATAATATATTTCAATACTTGAAGACAAAATTGACGACTTTTTCAATGTTCCATAAAGCAACCAAATATGCTCAAAAATGAAAGATATTAGTTTTAGGAAGCCATTTTTAGCATTTTAAGGCACTTTTTCAACAGTTGAAAAAATCGTCAAAATTAACCAAAATGGTAAGGGGTAAGCCTTACCATTTTAGTCAATTTTGACGACTTTTTCAACTGTTCAAAAACTGTCTCAAAATGCTCTAAAATGAAAGATATTAGTCTTAGGAAGCCATTTTTAGCATTTTAAGACAGTTTTTGAAAAGTTCAAAAAGTCGTCAAAATTGACCAAAATGGTAAGGGGTAAGCCTTACCATTTTGGTCAATTTTGACGATTTTTCAATGTTCCAAAAACCACCCAAATGTACTCTAAAATGAAAGATAGTAGTTTTAGGAAGCGATTTTTAGCATTTTAAGACACTTTTTAAACAGTTGAAAAAGTCGTCAAAATTGACCAAAATAGTAAGGGGTAAGCCTTACCATTTTGATCAATTTTGACGACTTTTTCAACTGTTCAAAAACTGTCTCAAAATGCTCTAAAATGAAAGATATTAGTCTTAGGAAGCCATTTTTAGCATTTTAAGACAGTTTTTGAAAAGTTCAAAAAGTCGTCAAAATTGACCAAAATGGTAAGGGGTAAGCCTTACCATTTTGGTCAGTTTTGACGATTTTTCAATGTTCCAAAACCCAACGAAATATGCTCTAAAATGAAAGATAGTTGTCTTAGGAAGCTATTTTTAGCATTTTAAGACAGGTTTTGAACCGTTGAAAAAGTTGTCAAAATTGACCAAAATGGTAAGGGGTAAGCCTTACCATTTTGCTCAATTTTGACGACTTTTTCAACTGTTCAAAACTGTCTCAAAATGCTCTAAAATGAAAGATATTAGTCTTAGGAAGCCATTTTTAACATTTTAAGACAGTTTTTGAACAGTTGAAAAAGTCGTCAAAATTGACCAAAATGGCAATGGGTAAGCCTTACTATTTTGCTCAATTTTGACGATTTTTCAATCGCCAAAACCAACCAAATATGCTCTAAAATTAAAGATATTAGACTTAGTAAGCTATTTTTTGTATTTTAAGACACCTTTTGAACAGTTGAAAAAGTCGTCAAAATTGACCAAAATGGCAAGGGGTAAGCCTTACTATTTTGCTCAATTTGGACGATTTTTCAATGTTCCGAAAAGCAACCAAATATGCTCTAAAATGAAAGATATTAGTCTTAGTAAGCAATTTTTAGCATTTTAAGGCACTTTTTGAACAGTTGAAACAGTCGTCAAAATTGAGCAAATTGGTAAGGGGTAAGCCTTACCATTTTGGTGAATTTTGACGACTTTTTCAACTGTTCATAAACTGTCTCAAAATGCTCTAAAATGAAAGATACTATTCTTAGGAAGCCATTTTTAGCATTTTAAGACAGTTTTTGAAAAGTTCATAACGTCGTCAAAATTGACTAAAATGGTAAGGGGTAAGCCTTACCATTTTGGTCAGTTTTGACGATTTTTCAATGTTCCAAAAACCAACCAAATATGCTCTAAAATGAAAGATATTAGTCTTAGTAAGCAATTTTTAGCATTTTAAGGCACTTTTTGAACAGTTGAAACAGTCGTCAAAATTGAGCAAATTGGTAAGGGGTAAGCCTTACCATTTTGGTGAATTTTGACGACTTTTTCAACTGTTCATAAACGGTCTCAAAATGCTCTAAAATGAAAGATACTAGTCTTAGGAAGCCATTTTTAGCATTTTAAGACAGTTTTTGAAAAGTTCATAACGTCGTCAAAATTGACTAAAATGGTAAGGGGTAAGCCTTACAATTTTGGTCAATTTTGACGATTTTTCAATGTTCCAAAAACCAACCAAAAATATTCTAAAATGAAAGATCTCAGTCTTAGTAAGCCATTTTTAGTATCTTAAAACACTTTTTGAACAATTGAAAAAGTTGTTAAAATTGACCAAATTGGTAAAGGGTAAGCCCTACCATTTTGGTCAATTTTGACGATTTTTCAATGTTCTAAAAACCAACCAAATATGCTCTAAAATGAAAGATAGTAGTCTTAGGAAGCAATTTTCAGCATTTTAAGGCACTTTTTGAACAATTGAAAAAGTCGTCAAAATTGAGCAAAATGGTAAGGCTTATCCCTTAGGTAAGGAATATTGAAAAATCGTAAAAAGTGACCAAAATGGTAAAACTTACCCTTTACTATTTTGGTTAATTTTGACGGCTTTTTGAACTATTCAAAAACTGTCTTAAAATGCTATAAATGGCTTACTAAGACTAATATCTTTCATTTTAGAGCATATTTGGTTGGTTTTCGGAACATTGAAAAATCGTCAAAATTGAGCAAAATAGTAAGGCTTTCCCCTGGCCATTTTGGTCAATTTAGACGACTTTTGTCAACTGTTTAAAAACTGTCTTAAAATGCTAAAAATGGCTTACTAAGACTAATATCTTTCATTTTAGAGCATATTTGGTTGGTTTTTGGAACATTGAAAAATTGTGAAAATTGACTAAAATGGTAAGGCTTACCCATTACCAATTTGGTCAATTTTGACGACTTTTTCAACAGTTCAAAAACTGTCTTAAAATGCTAAAAATTGCTTCCTAAGACTTATATATTTTATTTTAGAGCATATTTCGTTGGCTTTTGGAATATTGAAAAAGTCGTCAAAATTGAGGAAAATGGTAAGGGTTACCCCTTACCATTTTGGTCAATTTTGACGACTTTTTGAACTATTCAAAAACTGTCTTAAAATGTTAAAAATGGATTCCTAGGACTACTATCTTTCATTTTAAAGCATATTTGGTTGGTTTTTGGAATATTGAAAAATCGTTAAAGGCTTACCTCTTACCATTTTGATCAATTTTGACGAGTTTTTAAATTTTTTTTACTTCCAATTTCTTTCAATTTACGGTCTTTTTTTTTTGAAAGCCTTAGAGTTTTAACTTTTTTAAGCTTGTAAATCATACCGAAATTTTTCATGCTAAGTTTTTTGCATTGCCGGGGCTTGGAAACATTTGTGCCAGGATTGAGAGACAAACGTCTTAACCACTAGACCACTGCAGCAATCATGGAAAGCTATTGTTCTTTATTTGAACTAATCCTTTTCGAAGAATTTTAAAATAGTAAATTCGTTGGGAAAAATAGCACCTTTGCCATGCAGGATTCGAAGGTACGCTTACAACCTTTATTGAGCGCCATTGCGCAATATCAATATTTAATATTTGAAGCCCAGTTTCCAGTTTCCAATTTCCAGTATATAAAGACATATTCAAAAAATCGTCAATTTCGGCCAAAATGGTAAGGGTACCTCTTTATATTATTTTTCCACACTTATTCACTGCCCACAACTTTATATTTTTCAAAACGTCTTGAAAAATAATAATTATAATATATAAATAAAATACTCTTTGACCTTATATTTCAAAAATACCTTGTATTAACTTACTACAAATATTGCTTGGCCAGGATTTGAAGAAAACTAGTGTTTCGTTTTCTCTTGGCATTTTGAAGGATTTCAGGCGGATTGCAACTGTTTAATTCCGATTGGCTGATAGCTTGTACCTAAAAATGTAAATATCAAACATCTATTTCTACATAAATAAACAAGAAGGAATTTCGTTTAAGCCCATACAATCAGTGAGTTTGTTTACGTTTTCAGTGATGCAATCACAATGCATAAATTTTTACTACTTCAGGTAAAAAGGACATTATGTACCATTTTACATGAAGTATTAAAAATTGGGCATTGTGATTGGCTTTGCCTTACATATACATATACATATTATAATATAACATTTATAGTACGCGCGTGCTGATTGGTCGAGCAGCGTGTTCCTATAACTGTATAGAAACACGGGAATTTTCCCGCCGTACTTGACAAGCGAAGCGATGTAATGAGAATTTGTAATTGAATCGAATCATAATATTTGTACAAAATCTTTTTATTGAGTTATATTATAAAAGAAATAGAAAACATTTTTTCCTGTGTTTCTATACAGTTATAGAAACACTTGTGGCAGTTTGGGAGAACTCGAAATAACGTGGAGAAACTCGCCCTACGGGCTCGTTTTCCCAATGATTATTTCTCGTTCTCCCAAACTCCCACGGGTGTTTCTATAACTGTATAGAAACACGGAAAATGTTCTCTATTTCTTAAATAAACCACTATAACTTAATGGTTTCCGCGTTTGATTGATTTGGATGAGGCCATCCAAACACGGGAAACGATTAAGTAATTGTTTTTTTAAAAACAACAAGAGTTCTGTCATAATATTCTTGTATGTTTGCATGGTGACAATCGATAAGTAATTTAGCTGGTAAGTACACCACGTAAGTATTTAACACTGCTCTTTGAAGTATTACATACTTACGTGGTGTACCTACAAGCTAAATTACGTAAAAACAACAAGGTTGTGTTCCAAGTTTGATTTCAATGCGAATTTCGAGTTTGGTTTCCGGCAAATGAAATTTCCGGGTGTTTGATGGCGTGATCCAAACTTAGCCGGACCAATCAGAACACACGTTATAAACATGTTATCTTATAATTATATTTACCAAACAATCAAATAATCGGATCAATCAACAACAAATCAGACAAAAAAAGGTTTATATACTTACCGCAATCTGCTTTTTGTCATTTTCGCCCTGTTTACTGTGAATATCTTGGGAAGTCAAAGAGTTAAACTTTTGATTTAGGCGACGGGGAGGAAATTGAATTGAATTGAAGGGATTTTCCGAGAAAGGGCATACCAAACGGCCAAGACTACATGTGTAATACTGGAAAAGCACTAGTTTAACATATATAGGTCTTATTTATAGAAAACACGTATAAGCTGGAGGCCTGGTAACGAGGTGCTCTAGCATAAATGACTTTACTATATATATAATAAAATAAGTTGCGAGGAAAAATTACAAGATTATCAAGAAGCATGTTTCAAAAACAAAAGATACGAATCACAAACTCCAGCAAAGTTACATCCCAAATGCAGTTGTAGTAGAACTCCGAAGCGTCGTTCCTGTTTTTTTTTAGACAAGGAGAAAAGTTGAACACTGATAACTTCTGATGAAAATTGAAAAACAGTTTAAAGGACTATTGAGACTACACGATAAGTTGTATCCAATTATCATTCTGATGAATGCAAAAGAGTGCATATGCCACAATCTTATTCAATTTTGTTCAGGTTAGAATGTGAAGTGTCACATTTGTATGTGTGTTCATACGTTCACATACGCCAGGGTACGAATCGTATACGACAAATCGCATAGGGTAGATGGACTTTAAGGATACATAAGCCCCATTTACAATACACTTTTTTTTTTTGGCACGGCATGGCTATAATGGGTACCCGTGCCCATTTCATCCGTTTTCGCGGCCTTTGTTTTGGTGGCCTGAACCCTAATGAAATTGAGCACGGGTACCCATTTTAGCCGTGCCGTACCAAAAAATTGAATGTAGTGTAAAGTGTAAACAGGGCTATAATTATTTCGTACAAATCCAACGACTACGAGTTTCGTCAAATGGCGTAGGAAAACAGCACCGAATTTGGCGCGAAAAAGACGAATCTTGTACTCGTAGTCACTACTTCCCTACTAGCATTATACACGTTTACCGAGTCGTTTGTTTCATCGCGTTAAAAGCCAACGAGTAATCCAAAGGCTCCAAAAATTGACACAGCAGGGCGACCTAGGAAAACATACTCAGTTATACGAAATTTCACGTCTGTATGATAATTGCTCGGGTTGTTTTTAAAGATAGACAAACCATGGTCTAAACCAAGTTCATCTATTTATTCATCTTTCTCTATTAGGGCCATTTAAATTAGGGAGAAAAAAATACATTCAAATTCAGTTGTCAAACAGAACAAACAGTATTACAAAGGAACAAAAAGCACCATGGAAGACATAAAGCGATTAATCGCGATTGACCAAGTGCAAGCCATTTCCACGTCGTATGAGTTTAGGTTTTGAGTTTGCATATACAATATACACAAGAACATAAAGACAAAAGTAACTTTGTTAAATCATTACCTGTGTATGAGCGTTGAAGAAAGTGCAACACCCTATCATTTTTCGATATATCTACAAAGGTAAAGAAGTATAATTTTAAAATGGATTTGGGAGCGATTGGTTTGGGATAAAATAATTTGATAAAATAATTTTTTGGAATAACATGATTTTTTGGAAATATATACAGTTCGAAGTGTTTTGCATTTATGAAGAGTGTACATTCGGGAGGTTGGATTTTTTAATTTTGGAGTACTAAAGGATTTATGATAAGGCAAAACTTGGTCCTGTGTGTAGGGCAACATGTATTTCTTTTGGGCAAAAAAAATACACGATTCGCAAGTGGTAAAAATTACGGAGAAATATGTTTCTGTGACTTTTAAATAATAAAAAGCACTGACAGCTAACTTCAATGATAATTTTAACTTCAATGTCGAGGCTTACCGAGTTATCCCAGATCGCCTTTGGAACGGGTAATGCGAAGAAGTCCGAGGAAGCTGCACCCGCTTGTAAATAACAACGAAGAGCTTTTAAGTGATTCTCTTTTTCTGAAAGAAAAGGTTTGACAGTCTTAATATTCGCATACCACACTCCACCCTCTTTTCCATATTATACCCCACCCTCTTACCCATATCACACTCCACCCTCTTACCCATATCACACTCCACCCTCTTACCCATATCACACTCCAACCTCTTACTCATATCACACTCCACCCTCTTACCCATATTATACCCCACCCTCTTACCCATATCACACTCCACCCTCTTACCCATATCACACTCCACCCTCTTACCCATATCACACTCCAACCTCTTACTCATATCACACTCCACCCTCTTACCCATATTATACCCCACCCTCTTACCCATATCACACTCCACCCTCTTACCCATATGAAACTCTATCCTCTTACCCGTATCACACTCCACCCTCTTACCCATATGAAACTCCACCCTCTTACCCATATCACACTCCACCCTCTTACCCATATCACACTCCAGCCTCTTACCCATATCACACTCCAGCCTCTTACCCATAACACACTCCACCCTCTTACCCATATCACACTCCAGCCTCTTACCCATAACACACTCCACCCTCTTACCCATATCACACTCCACCCTCTTACCCATATCACACTCCACCACACCCAATACAAGGTGATACCCTTTCTATATCTATACAAGAAATATTTTGAAAAGTTTGATGCACCTTACCATAAAACGTGTCTCCTTGTGTCTTCAGGAACGTAGGGTTGAAGGGATGGACAGCGACACTGTGATCAATGACTTCGAGAAGTGCCTGTCTTATCTGAGGAAATTCTATGGAGGAAGATCTGGCAAGAAAAACAAAAAGAATGGTAACGATTAGGCAAACGAAACTTACTGCTTCCCAGGTAATCTTGCGCTGATATTTTAACCAATCAATGCTCAAAAAGGATGTCAAAAGAGAAAACTATTTTACAGTATTTTAATCGATTTTATCTTTGTTATTCTTCATGAAACTTGTCGAATATTTGTGATTATGTTTAATAACAAAATATGTTTAATTGACAATCAGTAGTCTCAGTCCCTTCCCGCTATTTCAGATGATCTGGTTGTGAGGTAAGGAATATGACCACAGTTATATGACAAGTCAATCTTACGATGGTATTGATGTTGGCCAGAGATGACTGTGCATCATGACGTTCTTCTGTTCTTTCTCGTCCTTGTCAGTTGGGGATTCTAAACTCCGCATACGCTCCAAACACGACATGATTAAACTTAAACATGTCTCATCCTGAAAAAATGAAGACAACCTTTTTGATAATGCGTCTATATAAAAACTATATTCTGAAATGCATTTGCTCCAATTTAGCCAAGGACATTAATCAGAGTCCCTTATTTCAGTGCATTGCCGGCATTGCTCGTCTAGTTCAACTAGACACAGTCCAGTTGAGCTGAATCCGACTCGGTCCAGTTCAGCCTAATGCAATTCATTGCGTGCAGTCTAATTTAGCAGGGACTGCCTGGATGAACTGCTTGCCATTCAGTCCAGTTGCACACAGTATATTTTAGGATGAATATACGAGTTGTTTCAAGGATGGCATACCTTAACTTTTTTAATAAACTTCACAAAATGTGGCCTAAAATGAGGATTGGAAATCGTATTTAAGTGTGTAAACTTGATAGTCCACTACAAGTAAGATTCAACGGAAAAGATTATAGTTCAGAATATGCCGGATATGTGTACGGTGGTCGTAAAGATACTCACAGATGTTCTGGTTCACGTTTGATGTCAATAAGAGTACCATCCGCCAACATACGCTTATGCTGAACAGTCGATGTAAAAATCTTCAAAACTACAATAAGCGAAATACAAGTTTTATGCAAACATTGTTGAGAACTGATTTCACAAACTTTGGTCTAGTATCACCTCTGCTCTGACATGGATATAGTAGCTGGCTCGATCAAGTTTTACCATCAGACCAGTGAACTAAATAGTCAAGTTGGCTGCACTACTATCAGTCATTCCATGCTTACCAGCGTCCCACATGTTTTTCGCCGTTTTTCGCCATACGAGAGGTTTTGTCAGACTAGTACAAACCCCAGCAATACTCCGAGCAAGCTTTGAAAAAGAAAGATAAAAAAGCTTAGTTCTTTAGATATCTTCAATATGAATTGGCCTCTTCCCTTACACTACCTCCTTATAATCCATGGCTTCTTTAGCACATCGAATGTCAAGATCAGACAGAAAGGACCATTCTTGCACGTTTAAAAGGTACACAACCATGGTCTCGATCGCATGAGATTTGGGCGCATAATCTGCAATGGTAATTTGGAACTAAATTGGCCATTTTCAATTTCAACTTTCGCTCCAGCGAAACACAGATAGCTAGTTGCATCTTTTCATGGAATACCTGACGCTCCTATGGTGAGGTTCGACATGATCCTTCGTAGAATATCGGGGGAGCTGGAATGGAATAATTGAAATGAAAAACAATGGACGAATGACACTTTTCTCTGTCACGAAACTAGAGTTGTCGGTCAACTGAAGGCATTCCCGACCTTGACTAGCATCAATCTTTAAGAAAATTTTTCATATCAAGAGGTAGTCTTACGCGTGATCCAACGTCTAGAGAGTATAACTTATTTCTTTGCAAGGTGATAGTGCATACGACTTATAGGTGAATTAATATAATATCATGGCGCTTCTCTGAGTTACCAACTGGAAAGCTGAAGAGTTTGAGCAAGCTCGTATTTGACCGAGTTTCGTCTTGTAGCTTAACTGGAAGAGCGTTGGATTGGCAAACCAAAGGTAGCGGGTTTGTTTTCCACTCTGGTCGAGCTAATGTATTATCTTGCACGGTTTGTAGCTGAGAGTATAGACCTATCACATTGATGTATTTACTATTTCAGTATCTCGGAGTGATTTTACAAACGACCTCTAAATTATAGATGTTGTTTTTTAAAAAGTATATGACAGATGTTTTGCATACATACAGTTTTTCACGATTTTCCTCAGCAATCAAAATGTTCGTGACAAGAATCTCCTGCGACAAGAAATTGCTTAGTTTATCAAACGTCGAGGTGTTGCCATATCTTTTCCGTTGATCTTGGATCGTCTGAAATCCAAAATCCAAGAAGCTTTTTGCACCAACAAAATCCTGAAAGTTCATGGAAGAAAATAAGTTAAAGAGAACATTGTGAGCTTTGGCGGAGAAGCATAATCGACTTTGCTTGTATTGAGTGAGTTGTATAGAAGGTGTTCCTACGGAAACATACCTTTCTCTGAGCGCAGAGGCTAGCCTTGCTGAACAGGACATGCAAGAGATCTTGTTGTATGTCATCTTTAACGTCTTTGATGTAGGCTCCGTAGAGGGCGCTTTCGTATCCCTGGAGAGACGAAGGATTCTCAGATTTTAAACAGGGCGCACGGGTGGACAAGTGAAACACATGCAGATAAATCGGCGAAGGAATTTGAAAGACAGAAGACCAACCAACCTTAGCATGGTTTTTGTGAGGATCGGAATCTCGGCTGTGAAGTCGCATGAGCAAGACGGGGATCTGGGACGGGCATGACGTAACCTGTAAGTCGTGTTCCAGTTGGCTGACCTGAACTTGATTATCAACCCGAGTATCTTCATACACAAAAAAAGACAAAATAAATCATGATTTAAAACTGGCAATCTTATTAAAATGCTGCATTTGAATGGGGCGGGAGAACTCTAAAACAACTGGAGCCATAACCCAGGGGGGAAAGGTGAAGCTGGTGCCTCAATACTTAAAACGTTTGTCTTTACTTCGACACACATGTTCATAACCAGTCATCGTTCCTGTTGTAAAAGGCTAAACATGAGATAAACCGGCCATTCCACAGTATTAAAAAGCAAAAGTTTTACGGCTCATTTTCCACAAGGACAAACTTGTTTGCAGCAAAAACAACTTTTCCGCGAACCAATCGCATTGCGGTAATCAAATTTACTTCATTGGTTGCTTAGCGTGAATAAATTGGGCTGAAACAAAGTTTCAAAGGTTTACGGAAAATCAGATATGCCCTATTTCCTGCGGGGAGGGAGGTCAAGCATCGTAGAAGAAACTAAAAGGCCATTCCAAGAAAGATTGAATTATGAATTTGTAAAATACCAGTAGAGTCTTGCGAATTAGCGCAATTCATGGGCAATATACTATCATCGTTTCACAACAAAGCAGGAGTACATATTTTCAAAACAATTTCATTAAACAATTTATACATTCTTTTAAACATTTTAATATACTTTTATACACCTAAGACTATTGAGAAAACCCGAATCCAAATATATACTTTAATAGTTTTTAATATTTCCAGCCAAACCTTATCAAAGCATGCGGTCAGTCAAGTCATGATTGTCATTCCTTAGAAACTCGAGCTTGATTATTTTGCCATGTGTTTGTGCACTTTCGAGCTAACAAAGTTACCTGTGTTAATAATATAGCTCCTCTGAATAGATTATGATTTTTGGCACTTCACTCGATGCAGGAAATTCTAGAGGTTTTCAAAGGGTTTTAATTTCGAGTGGAATTATACACACTTCAAATTCAAGCCAGGAAAAGTTGATGGAAAATGAGTCAACTATTGGTCCTCCGGCAGGAATCGAACCTACGCTTTTCCAAGAGCATTGCACTGGCATCGCAAAAGCGTAGGTTCGATTCCTGTCGGAGGACCGATAGTTGACTCATTTTTCCATCAACTGTTCCTGGTTTGAATTTGAAGTGTGTTTAATTCCACTCGAAATTAAGACCTTTAAAAACCTCTAGAATTTATCTTTCTGAATAGACCCAATCCGTATTAAACAATATTTTAATCTTGGCAAATCTTGAACATTACCTTGATCTAGTCGAAATTTGATTACATCGCGGTATTGTTCAGCGTGCAATAGGCCATTCACAGAGATGGCAGATGTACATTTTACCAGAATGTATGCTGTTTGGAAATTGTAGAAAAAAGCGAATAGATCTTTCTTATAATGACGTCAAACGCGGAAAGTCTGATGTTACACGAAATTTGATTGGCTCCACAAAACTTTCCGCGTTTGACGTCATTATGAATAAGGTCTATTGACGTTCTTTGAACGACAGACATGACAAACAGAAAATTTGCGGTGTTATAATTTCGCGTCATTAATGACATTACAGGTGGCATTTTTTTCTCTTTTTTTTCGCCCACTGATTCAGGTAAAATGTACAATTGCCGCCATTTTCGTCAAGTGATTACATCGCATGCCAAGCTTTCTTACAAATAGCTCGAATTTCAAAGACCAGACCGATTTAGACAATTGCATCTGCCGAAGACATCCAGGGACCCCAAATACCACCGTTGTATATCGGAGAACCCCTGATATCAAGACGTTTTGAAGATCTTGCAACAGAACGTTTCCTATGACCTTCAAGCTTCCTCATCAACCAGGCGACTTTCTCGGGATATCTTTCCGCAAGGTCCGTACTCTCGCTCGGATCCCTCCTGATGTTAAACAGCTGCAAATGTTTGCTGCTCTCGCGTTCGCTCGAACACACCGCCTTCTGACCGGACCCGCGAGGTGGGATCCAATTCCCCGGCTTTTGCACCCCGACGAGCAGTTTCCATTTCCCTCGTCGTATAGCCGCGCGGTTGCACCATTTGAAGCCGTTGTATGTAAAGCATAGTTTTTTCGTAAGCTTTCTCGGAGAACATTTTTTCGAGATTCTCTGCCAGAATTTGTTTCGCTTGCATTGCAACAACTTTCTTGGGATGTTCTTTCGACATTCTCTGCTCACCCGGCCTTTTTGCACGGTGTGATCAGCGAGACCAGGCCACAGTCCTAGCAAGATTTCTTTCCGAGGTGAAGCAGCGTCTGCACTGATCGTATCCCACTGGTTTTCCCCATCCAGAGGCTTGGTGCCGTTCAGATCACCTCGACTGAGGTGAACAAAAGTTGGAAACCAGTCGCTGATATGGATAAGTTTTCGACTCTTCCGCCCGGGTCGTTTTATAAGGGGGCTATTCACGAACCCCACTCCCCTAACACCCCCTTCCCAAAACGAGCCCTTCCCGCCCCTCAACGGCCAGTTACTGCCCCCGTTCGTGATTTGACCCCCGTTGTCGGTGGTGAAAACCAGCACGCTGTTTTCCCACAAACCACGTGACTTTAGGCCATTCACCAGTTCCCCGACAGCCGAATCCAGCGCGGTCACCATACCCGCGATATAGCGTCGCGTCAAGTCACGAATGCCACCGTTCTGTTTCAGCCAATCGCGAGTCACCTGCAGGGGACCATGTGGAGCTTGGAAGGATAGGTACATGAATAAAGGATGTTTAGGATCGTGCCGCGAGATTATCCTCAATGCCTCATTTCCGTACATCGTCGTCGAGTATATCCTCGACAGTCCCTCGTTCCAAGACACACTGTTATTGTGCCAGAAGTCGTAACCATGGTGAATTTTCCCCCGTACCTTTTTTCTTTTATAATACCGGAAGTGATCCCCGGAGCCGAGTAAAATGCCGTAGAAGGAATCAAAACCCCGTTGAGTCGGCGCGCACTCTTTCTTGTAATGCCCCAGATGCCATTTTCCAACCAAATGCGTCTTGTAGTCTCTGGCCTTTAACTTTTCCGCAATCGTTACTTCATCTAAGCGCAAACAAGACGGCTCCATCGGCTGAATGTTGCGAACTTGTCCGGTGTGTATTCCGTAACGTCCCGTCAGAAGTTGGCTTCGGGAAGGCGAACAAGATGGGGATACGTAGTAATTCTCGAGCATAACACCGCTGTTCGCAAGCTTGTCCAAATTTGGAGTCAAAATCTCCGAGCCGTGGAAGCCAACGTCATTGTAGCCCAAATCATCGGCGACAACGAGAATTATATTCGGGCTTTTTGCCGGCATGCTTGACCCGGCCAGCGACGAATGCGACAGGATGAAACACAAGCCCAGCAGAAGACAACGTAGAGCAGCGCGCGCCATTGATCGAAGTGGGTTTGTAATCAAATTCTGAAAGATCAAATTCGAGTAGTGCGATTTCGAACAAAAGCGCACTGTATGCTGATCAGCCACGCTATTTATAGAGCGCGCGCGCGGGGCGATCTACTGATTGACCAATCATGAAAAGTGTTCAAAATTCGGACATGATGTGGTCGTTTATAGGGGCACATTTTAAAGCGCGGTTAATGCCAATTACCTGTAAAAACTTTTTGTTGCCAGATGTTCAGGGAAAGGTCACGTTTGCGCTAACCTGGAGGACAAAGCTATCCCAAATGACACGTACACTTGGACGACGCAAGCTCGGAGCCAACAACAAAATTTACAATCGCGTGCGCTGCGGAGACGCATTTGAACGCTTTGACAATTCAGGCTATTACCAAAATTGACGTTGAATGGCCAACAATTTGTACCAGTATTCATTAAATATCCATGTCTACGGTCTGGTGTTCCGCAATCAATTTATTGCGCGACGCGAATCGCTCTGAGCAAAAAAATACAGAATGTTTTGAACGGAGCAAAACCCTGCTGATATCAAATCGTGGGATGAAATTGAAGTGATCATCATTTTTCTGATGACTTGTTAGACAATGAGATAACCTTTTGTCTCGCCTTTTGTGAGGTATCTTTTGCACAATTGTACCAAAATATTCGCATGAATTCACTTAATTGGTAGACTTTTAACGCGAGACTTCAAACACGGATGAATTTTAATAAAGCAGCGATAATAAAAGAGGAATTGTATAGTTTTACAAAAATATTTTACTGCAAATCAAATGACCTATATAAGTGGCTCATCGTGCTTTGTGTAAAAAAATCATGATTTACTTCACGCTGTCAAATTTGGTGCGAAGTGTGTTCCAGATTGGGTCAATATCAGTCATGTCAAATATCGCCTTATCTCGGCCGTTTGACAAACACAAACAAGTTCGTAAACACTCGACACTCACACCGCCATATATTTTCTACATATTGAAGCTTCTCAATAAACCTGTCAAACTAAAATCTCGTTCATCGCGTAATGATGCGCCATCCGGCGTCATCATATCGCAACCATAAAAGTGTATTTGAACGCTCGAATTGTGAAGATGTTCATAACTTGATCCGAGTGTTATTATTGTGCTTTCTCGAATATCATTCTGTTGGTTTATCACAGTTGGTTTGCGGTTTGAACTCACAGCGGCAGGCGCACTTGCCTCTTACTAGCTTTCAGGAATCAGGTTGACTCAAATAAGAGGGTTAATAAATTTTGGCTGGAACGCAACGCCGAGAAAGAGTCAGCTCTTGTAGCCTAGAAGTTAAGGACAGCTGCGATTAAATTTCGCGTTCTGTGTTTTATTAACAATTTCGAAAGCGTGAACGTTAATTTCCGACGAGAACGTTCAGATTAACGCAGTAATCCTATTAAAAAGCTCCTGATGAAGACACTTAATTTGACAAGTTTTTTTTCATATCTTTTTCTGCGGATAACATTCATATTATCACAAGCAACCACGCGCGCTAGATTCAACCTGTTGAGCTGTTGTGTGTAATTTACCCAATCTGCAAATTGAGGCATATTGTCGAAATCTTATGCCCTAACTAAACACTGCACTTCAGATAAAACTATAAATCGCAAGAAAAACAAGAGGATAAAGACGCTACTCAGAAGCGCTTGTTGTTTTATACTCATTTTTTTTTCATCGCTGTTTTGATGTACAGATTTGATCTAAATATTTTGAAAATCTGTCTGAAAAGATCCTACTCAGCAGCTCAGATTATCCCTAAATCCTAATCCTCTATCATAGCAATTTGAAATCCTAAATGTCTAGGGTTCCGTTTTGAAATTTAGCCAAATTGCGCGTGAAACGGGACAAAGCAATTAAAGACATCATATTTTGAAAGGAAATTGCAAGTTTTAAAAAACACTTAAAGAAATCCCAGAGCATATTGTTTCAATGATATATAGCCTTAATCATCGGCTGACATCGACTGAAATCGGAAGACAGTCGGAAGGCCACGGAAATGCGTTGGGGAACACGCAGCCTCATTGTAACCATATTAACCTGTGCAAAACAACAAAATCTCGCTATCAAAACAAGCTTAAAATCTTTCGCAAGGATTCCTAACGAGATGCCTAATGCATGAAATTGCTTTGCAAGACATGGCCAAGTCTGATTTGAATAGAATCCATTCAGTAGTTCCCAATGCATGTCAGCGACAATAGACCTTACCTGTTTTAAAAGCTATACAATGGAATCAAGAAAGACTATTATTCACATTTCCTCAACTTGGTAACCGAAAACGTATTACTTGAAAAATGCAATTTTCTGTTGAAAACTGTGATTTTAACACCGACCATTCATGCCGCAATAATGTTATTATGAAGTTTAAAGCATCATAATTGTCGCACTTGGGAAAAGTCTAGATACCTTTTGACGTATTTCGTCAGAAAATAAACATATATACAAACATCTACATCACTTGGGTAAAATGCAAGGCCACACGCACGCCAAATCAACGTTGTGAAACGTGAGAACACACGAAACAAGATTATACATTTTTTCATCGTTCTACTTGAGCCATTTTCTTCCTAAATCCTACTACGAGTGGTGTGGAATAGGCCATTGGCAGCTTTGAATATAGTCGTAATGAGAGATGAAAAATAGCCAATTGCCCTGGCGCCAGACTGTAAATTGCAATAGTTAAAAAGCCTTCCCAAAATAGCCGTCCTAGCCACTAGCCAGGGTCAAATTTTTGACTTTACGAATTTACGTAGGGCAGGTTTTAATATAATAATTAAAAAAGACGAAGTAATGTCTGCGGCCATAGATCTTGTGAATGACTGAACCTGCATCTTATGCATTTAATATGTACTTTCATTGACAATTAAACTATTTACATCGAAATATTTCAGCTCAGTTGTTCAATAAATAGATGATTTTGTTTTCCATTTTGAACTTATCCACCGTTTAAGCTAAACGCCTTTCGAACAACTATTTAAAAATAACCTTCTCGAAAATTGTTTGCACTAAATTGATTAAAAAACTATCTGAAACGATTGAAAATGGTTGTTTATCATTGCGTCTCTTTTTTTTTAAGTAGGTACACGCACGTAAAGGTTTAAATATCCTTTTCAAATGATTGATGGAAATTACAAAATGAAATCATGGAACTGCATGGATTTGATGTAACGTGTTTTGCCATATATCTAGACTGAGAAGTTTTTGAACTTTCATACGTGCGTTTAAATGCGTGAAAGACCGTGTCACAGTAGAAAAACAGCACTTGAGATTAGAAAATAAGCCTTGATTTGGGGGTCAAAAAGTATAAATTGGCAGGATTAAAGAACCTTCGGCAGTTTAATTGCGACAAAATAACGCGCTCGTGATTGGCATGGTAACCACGCGTGGATTGACGTGTTGATTCGACGGTGATTGAGGGTTGGCTCAATAGCGCGAGATTATTCACACATCTTTTTTTAAGAATTGCGCATTAGCACAGCAAGGCCCACGCGAAGGCCGCCTATTGTGGGAAAAATATATTGGCCTTTTTAAAGCAGATAAATCGAGTCGGCGGAATTAAACGTCAACGATTAAAACCAATTTCTCGCTTCGCATGTGGGTCGAATTCAAGTTTGCTTCGATTCCTAAGCGATTCGGAATGACAATTTAGCGTAGCAGATCCTCAGGAGAAATCGAGGCCCTTTTCGTTAGGCGGTAAAGATGATCTGACTTGTGAATTCATTATAGGAGTATTTTGTTAAGCACTGCTGCGTGCAGGAGATCGCCATAGGTTAGGACCGGATAGAAGTCATATAACTAATATCATTATATATCATTATATCAAAGCTAATTCACACGTTCGACCTTGTGATGGATGTTTTGTAGTCTGTTGACTTGTTTGGTATATGCGATGAAAACATCTGAACCAAATTTGCGCTGTTTTCAACTTTCCAACAAGAAGTAGACGCTATTTTCCATACGTCTGAGGTGAATTGGATGCGACAAAAACTGGATGGTATTAATAAACGAACAAATGCTTCTAATTTTGATAGATGTGAAAGAGGAGAACGTCGCTCAAGGAAGAGCATCCACAATTGTCATCTATCAAAAAAAGAAAATTACACCGAGAATCCCCGAGAGATTTGCATGTGTAAAGACCACTGATAAACACTCCAATGAAATTGGGTGAGTTATGTTTACATAAAAGTGCGACGGCAAAGCCATGTGTTATGCATTCTCCGAACACGCACGCAGCATGCGTTGTGAGAAAGGTGAAGACAGGGCGGTATGACGATGTCTATTGACCGCTCTCTGATCAGTCTGATGTCTGTCGCGATTTGTGGGTTGAATTCGGCCTACCATTTTGAAGCGAAATGGAGCTATTATTGCTTCGAGAAATCAAATCTGCCAAGGATGGTTTTACTTAAAATGCTAATCTACTAAGACGTAGGGAATGACAGATTGGGCAACCAGAAACGTGAAAACGTTGAACTTGGCTACGCTTCAACTACTTAAAACTTAGTTTAAAAAGTTTTAAACTGACCAATTTGGGATCGACAAAAAATGACCAAAACTAATCCGGCCACCCTAGCATATGAAAGGTATTAGAACAAGCAATGATTTATGAGCAAAAGCTGTCCTATATATACCCAGTGGTTTTAACGACCGTGGTCTCCAACGGTGGGGGAAAAATTAAAGCAATCCAGCCGGGCTGCACACAGTGGAAGCTTTGATTCGTGTTTGGCAACACTCCAGGTGACGCGTTCTTGTACATAAACTCCAACCGCAAAATTAGCTAAACGGTAACGGATATGGCGAATTTGGAATTTATCAAAAAAACACAACAATTGAGTTAACTGATAAGCAATGTTTTCCAGCGACATATGTTCTGTTTTTTTCCAGAATGTCAATAAAAATTACAAGGGAAGTAAATCAACGCCAGGCCCACGCCATAGATCGCGTTATTGATACAATTCATCGTTTGCTAAAATCATTTGAAGAATGTTCGCGTTTATGCCTCACGTTGCGCACGAAGGGATCACGCAAGGCGCGCGGATTCTGTAAGGAAGAATCGACGTGTTTGAAGATGCCAGAATGCGAAGGACACCATAACGCGGCGTCGCTTGGATGGAAGGACGGTTTTTCGAATTTACATTGCGATGGTTTAGATATTCTTTAGAAAAACGCACGACAAATCGAAATCTTATAAACTGTTGATATGTAATCTCGAACATCTGGCCACAAAATTATCATAATGTGCGCTTGATCTAGTTACTAAAAGCCCGCGTGCATGTACAGTGTAGTGATTGTGTCTTAGTCAGCTGTCTGGCGCGACTAAACAGTATTTACACCTCATCAATCCTTATTTACAAAAAAAAGCTTCAATAATATGGTACATTATGGTTTGTTTACATTCCCCCGTCTTAATAGCGCGAGCTTCAGAGCAAGGGAAGATTAGGTAAATAACTGCCACATGCAAAATACAGTATGTTCAATAATGGACCTAAACAACGAACTAGAATATATTTCCTAATTTCCTGTCGTTCTAATAGCCGGGATTTGAAGCAGATATAATTAATTTCTGTGTGTACCGTGCGACATGCAACGCCGAATAACGCCAAATATTGGTTTTTAATGTTTATGAATGGACCTAATTAGTTGTTAACCGTTGATGATTACTTATTATTACGGAAATTTGTCCAATTCCCGCAAGCAACTGGGAACCTTTTGCACGAGACACTCTGCACAACAGGGGCCGGTTGTAGTAATGTAGTTGTATCAAGCGCGTTTGGCCCAAACTGACGGTGGTTAAGTTGAAAATAGAAAGCAAGTCTATAGTTTTATTCAACAAGCAAACAAAATGTTTTTTAACCTCAATACAAAGATACTGTTTACAACTACATATTCAGTGCATAATATTCAAGTTGACTCATTCTAGAGATGTAAGAGTGTTATTTAATTTTGACTTATCCACCGTTTAAGCTAAACGGGCTTGATACAATATACAACCGACCCCACCAAATTTGTATTATCATTGTCGTGATGCCGTCATAGGCTCAAATATTTATGCGTGATCCAGTACATATATATATATCAGTGCATGACAGAATCACGTATAATCAATGCCAGCCGACAACTTATGTTAATAATATCAAACATAATCCAAAGATTATCGGATATTTTGAGTTTATGTAAACAGCCGCTAATTTCCGGGCAAATTTATAACGTCAAAGCTTTATACATTCGCAACAAACAGTCTGTTTTCCAAAAAAACATTGCGCTCAAAATTGAATTACATATCACCAACGTAAATAGAAATATTGAACGGAAAGGAAGGCAATTTCTAAAATCAGAATAAATGGGCGGGATTATGTACGCGTCCGGAACGTGTCCTACGATCAATGTGACAAATATTTTTAACACTTTTTTTTCGCGCATCAAAACATTCCTCGGGGTAAAACTAATCGCACAGAAGAGGATTTATAACACAAGCGTGCAGAGAAAAGCTTCAAAACGTAAACCTACAACGTACAACGTTTGCTTCGTCCTACCTTGGTGAGGCTGGATGCTGATTGGTGAAAACTTGCAGTTTCCATTTTTTAAATCTTCCTCCTGATTTTTCAGCGCTTTCTTCATCTGGAAATTGAAGGGAGTTGTAAAAACTTGTGTTACACAGCCGGATGCCTCAAAAAAGAGGACCTAAAAAGTTGGGCTATTAATCTATATAATTATGGCTATATTGTGCGTAATTTAACTGTCCTGGTATTATTTGTTTAGGATTTCCACCGCTTCTGATTGTTAATGCACGAAATGCTTTCTCTCACAATGCCAATGGGTATGTATCGGGATTTCCAAATTAGATTTCCTAACCTAAACAAGCCTATGGGATTACCAGGCTCTATATAGACCAACTGGAGTGTAATCAAAGTTTCAGCAAACAACCGGCGATTTTAAAGCGATTGAAAAATCTACTATCCGGCTATCATACAATTATTTCCAATTTTCCATCGCTTTATCCTAGAATAAAGCTATGGAAATGATTGTACAGATAGCACTTTTTTGCTGTGTATATATTACACAAGGACAGCTAGGCTTGCTGGAAAAAAAACGCATCCTCGAAACTTCAAATAGCTTCTACATAGCTAATGGTTATCCAGTGGCAAACTTTATGCCTTCATAAAATTCTTTGTGCTTCAGTTAAGGACAAAGCGGATTTCTGGGGGGGGGGAGGGGTCCGTTAAACCTGTGGTTAAACTACAAAAAACATGTTTTCTTACCATATTCATGTCGAGATATCTTCCAATATTTGACCTCAACAAAATATCATATCTTTCTTGGGCGAATTGCCCAACCAGCAGAGATCTAAAAATCGGTAAAAAAACCCCATGAAGAAGCCTGAACGCCAATACACGCGCGGTAATTCGCAATCTTTATGATACAACGAATCTATACTCACGCTATGGAGGATTCCAGTTGTGATAGAATTAATCCGTTATTCTCTGATTTCTGTTTCTCGCTCAAAAGTGCCACGGATTCCACGAAAAGCTATAAATTGTAGATACAAAAGTGTATGAGTTTTTACACGAATTAAACCAATAGTTCAATAATGAATGGCCAGAATGGGTGGTTGGTTGGTAGTGGAGATGGTTTGATTGTTCGTATATATGACAGAGGATTAAAGCTACAGTGGCGCTATAGTGGAGTTGGTTTGTTAGGCCTGTTTTCAACTTCAAAGTATCGTAGCAAAACGTAACGTATCTCGTTGTTTTAAAGTCATTAGTTGGATAGTGGAGTTGGTTTGGTATAGGAAGCAGGTTGATAGCGAAGGTGGGTTGATAGAGAAGACGAATTGAGGAAAAAACAGAGACAAAAGCCATAAGAACTAAAAAATATACCTCAATGAAACACTTGAACTGTTCACCAGTGGAATTCTCCAACATTTTCCAGAACTCCGGATCAACACAGCGACCAGCCAAGAGATTCCCAGTGGTATTACAACAACACACTTTCCACGGAAGAGTTTTGTCCGCGCGAAAATTTTGCTGAATATATCGAACAACGTCTGCTTCGAGATACCGTTTAAACGTATAGGGCACCTGCTGTTTTGCATTGTCTTGGATTAGTAGAAACACAAGATTCTGTGAAAAAATATAGAATTAACATGCATGCATGTATCCTAATGGAATGCCAAGTTGATAATATACTTTATATAGCAAGTGTATTACGCAAAAAAGGAAGAAAAAATTTATGAAATTCCAGCAACCAAAAACTGAAAAATCTAGTGTACAAATACTGTACACACTACAGCTTCATGTTCAGTAAATTCTAAATACACAAATTCAATCCATGAGATCAGGTTAGGATTAAGGTTATAGATTTGGATCAGAGTTAACTATGATCAACTACAGTACAAACCTAATCTAAGATCTAACCCTAACCCTAACCCTAACCTAGTTGTGAGGATTAAATTTGTGTGAATAGTACCATTATCTTTAAGGATTAAGAGATCAGTGCATACCTTGTAACCATCGTATTTGGATTGTTCCATTTGACTCATTAAAGACTGGGAGCTAACAAGATCCTCACGGACAGGACAATGCAAGAGAGAACAGCAGGCTGTGTAATAACCGGAGAGTTTCTTTTTGTCCACTGTGTAAAATGAGTCATTGCCACACTGAAATGTAAAGGGGTACCAGCTTTAATCCAATATCCCTAGCTTAACTTCCCCTCGGCCCAGACACCAGAGTACATGGTTGGCACACAAGAACAAATTAACCCTCACTGGCACACATGAACAAATATGGACATCACTTGCTAAATCCTCACTGGCACACATGAACAAATATGGACATCACTGGCTAAACCCTCACTGGTACACATGAACAAATATGGACATCACTTGCTAAATCCTCACTGGCACACATGAACAAATATGGACATCACTTGCTAAATCCTCACTGGCACACATGAACAAATATGGACATCACTGGCTAAACCCTCACCTGCACACCAGAACAAATTTCAAAGAGACCCTTGGCTTTCTCAATGTTTCCTTTGTAAAAATACAGCGTACCAAGATCAAAACATATCTGACCAACAATAGACTGACTTGAAACAGTCTTTGGATGTGATGTGTCCATAGCTTCATCAGAGGGTGGCAATTCTTTATCATCTCCTTCTTCTTTCTCATCCTTTTCATCTTTTTCACTGAAATAAAAAGACAGGGTTTGGTCAGCTTTGAGGTCACTTTCTCATTATCACGGCTTTTTAAATTTAGTAAGACAAATAAATATATCTACTGTATGTACCTGTTGTCCAAGCCAGTTTCTGTCAGTGTTTTTAAAAGTGGTAGTTTTGGCAACACCAAATCATCTTTCCAGCTAGTCGCCTGTTGTAACACCTCTATTGCTATCGCCTCTTCACTTTCAATCTGGAAAGAGTATGGTCGGGTGTTGGTTTGTGCAATAAACAGAACGAAAGACATGGACTTCTTGGCCCCTCTCAACCTCGCAAGCCAGGCTTTTCTACCTACACTCCACAGAGCATTCCAAGCCCAGAAATCTCGCGTACCCTCTGCCCCTTCTTGATGACTTTGCATATTGAAACAATAAAGTACCGGTACATGTGTTTTTTTCTATTGGTAGTCTAATTGCACCAAGTTTTTTAAAGCCAATAGAAGGGACAAAAAACATGAAAATGTTATGACTTATATAATTACATAATGGTTAAATTTTATTTGGTATGTATTTGAGACCTATTTTATTTTATTATATACCTTATCAACAAGTTTTTCTATTTCACTTTTCTCACATTTAGCCTCCCCTGTTGGTGATCTTAAAATGATCACAAAAATATTTTGATGACATATTCAATATTAAGACCAAGGTTTTGTCATGACATAACAGATGAGACAAAACTATATAGTACAATACAATACAATACAATTAGTATAGCATATAGTACATAATGGATTGATTATCTTACTCATTTGTTTTGTTTTCTGTGAGTTTGGATGAACTCTGATCAACAATTGATCTCACAATCCTAGATGACAAAAAAATTACAATCAGGTACTTAAGATGTGTCCTTTTTGAAAAAAACAGGTATTAATAGACATACAGGTATGACAGTGATTAAAGGTTTAGACAGGGCTGCCAGCAGCGCATCACATCACATATGTCAGCAAAAAAATCCAGTACATGCAATGTTGTATTCAAACTTAACGATGTCAAACTAAGTCTGATATTCAGGCTGCTTTCGGCATTTGACATCATTACAAAAAAGTCATATACTACATACATACATACCATCTATAATACAACAGTAGAGGAAAAATAGCTTCTTTCTCAACTTTATTCAATTCAGGTGCTGGTTTAATTTCCTGAAACATCAAACTCTGTGAGTACGTTTTGCTTCAGCACTAGTCATTTAAAAAGTCGACCTACTCAAGTTAGACTACAAATGTTACCTCTGTTTCTTTATAATACATTTTGACAAGTTCCTTTAAAAGCACATATTGCACATAGAGCTGAAGGCTAAAAATATAAATATAGTGAAATTATATACCACTAACTTTGAATTCTTTAAACTATATATGCTCCATAAAACAGGGACCTAGGATCGAGTGTTGGTTATAATTCCTAATATTGTTTCTATGTTTAATTTATACATTTTACATCAAATTTTAAAAACCTTTTTGAATTAGTGAACGTGATTGTCTCAGCAAGTGGCACACTCTAGATTCCTAGATTTCCATTAGGGTTCCCCACAGGAGGCTCCACCATTGGCCTCTTCTACCCAAAAATTGTGAATGGTCTATCTGTGAATGATATAATATATCACTGCATGTTTTTACTAACCCTGATTCCAGGCAACCTAAATTCCACTCCAAATGGGAGGCCACATGAAACGCAAGCAATAGCAATGGTTCCTTTCGTTTACTATTTGTCTCGCTAACTTCATGCCCATTCTGGTTTGTCTTCGGAGCACTTTGATTCTTTGTCTGAAGTTCCAAGAAAAGATAATAACAATAGTAATTTTGTATGAAGGAACTGCGTTGTGGCTTTTGGGAACAATATTCTTCTCAATTGCATACATACCCAAGGAGAAATACATCCTGATTTTTCAAGAAATTGATGGATAAGCTGCTCTGCTGATGGGGCTAGAAATTAAAAAGTTGTTTTAAATATAATACATCAATCAATTGAACATCAGTCAAGAGTGACCACTGATTGATTCGATTATTACTTAGTTCTACAAATGTACCATCAGTACGTACCAAATGTACCACACATAGCAACACTACTGGAATTGACTCATGCATAAATACAAAATAATTGTTTTGCTCAAGCAAGCTGCCAGTTTATAAGGTCACTATGGTGTTCTTCAAAGGGTCTCAAAAGGATAAAATTCAGTACGTTTTAACACGCATAGCGTATCATTCATGCAAATCCATACCTGCATTTGGTGTCGACAAATGTGTTGTCAAGAGTGTCCCTGTTTTGTCGAACAGAAATTCGAACCAAATAAGAGGCTTTTTTGATTCCATGCGAAATATGTGAGCATTTATACTAAATCAATGGCATCTAACAAAAAAAATCTCACAAAAATCAATCTTCACTCCTTTGTTTCCGCCATGTTTGTTCGCCACCATATATCCGACGACAGTTTCCGGGATATCACGACACAAAGCAAATCATTCCCGCCAAAAATACAAAATCTGATTTTCTTTGTTTACTGTCTGTATTTTTTTAAAAATATTTTTAATTTTTCATCTTAAATTACTAAATATTAAAATTTTGAATAAAATAGCAGTGCTGCAGGTTTTCAACATAGTTCGTATACAAACTCACAACAAAAGTCAATGTTAATACAATAGACTAAAAAGCACTGAAAATAGTTCTTTTTAATCTTTTAATCCCCGAGAAAAAATGAAATTTAATTGAAAGGAGTTTGTTCTGTACTAGTTGATATATTAGAGCTCTTTTCGACTTGAAAAAAGAAATGTAATTTCATTTTTAAAATGTACGAAACCCGCAACACCTACAATTCTCAGCCCGCCAAATGAACAAGACAAGATCATGCACATTTATAAAAGACAATGAAGAAGACATGGCTGACTGAACAAGGAGAAGAGCAATTTCTTTCTAAATAATGAGTGCGCGGTTTGTCGTCTCGAAAACAGACTCTGGAGTACCAGAAGCGATTCAGGAGTCTGCGGAGGATACGAAAAATGTGGAGATCATTGTCGAGGGCGATAAAGAATTGGGTATGATATCAACTTGTTCGACGCTTCGACCTGCGGCATTCACTTGGCTATCGGCATGGGGGAATTTAATACAAAGCGAAATTTGATCGCTTCATTTTGAAACAAATTCACGACGGGGAAATTCAGGAAGCTACTTAGCATAAGTACCGTGTTTATAAAGAGTATTAGCGTTTCTTTCAAACAATATACAGGTCATCGCGAAACTGTTAAATTGAATTTATTTCATATATTAAGCTACGTATAAACGCTATTATGAGAATTTGATTGCTGAAATTTCAATGAAGCGGAAATGCATTGACGCTTAATAGCTTAATTAAAAATTTGAGCCAAAAGATTCAATTTGTATTTTGTTTTTCTTGAAAGAAGTTGAAAAGAACATAATAATATCTGAATAATTATGTCAAAACTGGAATGTAAACTCCCATTTGATTGGCTATATTTCCTTTATGACATTTTTGCCCACCTGACATTAAACTTTATAGTTTCAAATTATCCATGCATCATCTTATTTGAGACGGACCAACTTTGCAATAAGCTTGAAAAACATTTCATTCAAGTGCCAAATTATAATTACAGTACCCCGACTAAAGTTTTAACATAAATTTAATAAATAAATCATGATACAGTGTGACATAGACATTATCACATGTAGTCTTCAGATCAAAATTAGCTTCATATGTTCATGCTCTACCTTTCTATCTAAGATGGCAACACCAACATAAGAAACAATATATTTGCTGACGTCGTCAACGAAGATGAAAGCCATCTCCCACTATATAATCGTCAAGAGGCTGAGACAGCTGCTGGGACATTGCCTTTATATGAGGTTAGGAAATGATTATGGGAGTTGATTTATCAGTTACTGTTCACATATAAAAAAATTTGTCCCGAAAATATACTACATGTTATATGTAAAGAGATATTATATAGACAACTACGATATGCAAACTTCTATATGCAAAATCTTTGTCAATTGCTGATCTCTGGAACTAAAACTCAGTCTAATACATCATAACTCCATCTGCAGGCTGACATGCTTAAACGCCCCAAGATCTCAATTCTCTTGTCACAACTGGCCAGTTATGAAGCCGTGCAGGCCGCACCAATGCAAGTTGACCAAGAAGGCAAAACAGCTCTGAAACGAAAAGAAGTAAAAAAGCCTTGAGTTCTTACTGATCACCTATTTCTTTAGTTCCGAATAATTTGCTAACAAAACTTTATTGTTTTAGGGAGCAAAAATGGGCACGCTCATGGGCGTGTACTTCCCAACAATTCAAAATATTTTTGGTGTTATTCTGTTCATCCGTCTCTCCTGGATTGTGGGAATAGCTGGTGCACCAGAAGCATTTCTTATTGTTTTAACTTGTTGCTGTTGTGTAAGTCTATGCACTTCAATGAGCAGCTACATCCATCTGTGAGCGCTTTATCCTGTGTTGGTCTGTTGAATAAGGTTGAAAGGAAAGACCTTGAAGGATCCGGCTCATTATGCATGGTGCCTCCCCATTAGTTCAAGGAACCAGACTTGTTAAATTATATTTCTGAATCAGGAATTTACAATATCTCTTAAGCATGTGTAGTTTTGGTCCAAATACATATAATCATGGTAATTTGTACTTCAAGAAATCATACAATTGCTTTTCATTTAGACTTTGCTGACTTCAATTTCAATGAGTGCAATTGCCACCAATGGTGTTGTCCCAGGTTTAGTAAAATCTCTTAATCTGTAATATTTCAATTTTTCACATTTGAAAAATGCAGTTTAACACTGTATATAAACACCTAAGAAAAACCATTATGACTTTCCACTTTTTCCTCTTGTTTAAGCTGGTGGTTCATATTTCATGATATCTCGAGCATTGGGTCCTGAGTTTGGTGGTGCTGTTGGTATACTGTTTTACTTAGGAACAACGTTTGCATCCTCGATGTACACGCTTGGTGCAATAGAAATACTGCTGGTAGGTTAACTTGTGCGAAGAAGGTAAGGCAAAACAACGTATGCGCAAATCGTTAGGAATCTAGCTCTGGTTAGCAGGAAAATGCCGGCGAGTTCAGCTCCATTTCTCCCACAGCATCTTATATACGCGAAAAACGTGAAGACAAAAAGACAAAACAATTCATCAGAAAGATGCACTGATCTGAAAAGATGTCACCACCGGAATACCTGAAACTGTAGCAGCAAACGATGCAACTTAGGGCTCGCTTACTTTAGGAAAAATACGCAAATACCAGAGAAACCTAATCATCAACCATTCAAATTTTAGACCTACATCGCTCCGGGCATGTCGTTGTTTGGTGACGTTCGTTCGAGCGGAGGAGCGACATCGTCGGTGATGTTGAACAACATGAGGGTGTATGGAACCATTTTACTGTTTCTGCTGGCTGTTGTCGTGTTTATCGGTGTTAAAGTTGTCAACAAATGCGCCTCGCTGTTCCTCGCGTGCGTTTTGCTCTCCATCTTTGCAACCTACATCGGGTTCTTCACGGTCCACACCCGTTCGGATACAAGGTTAGTAAATCATTAGGTAGAAACAATGGTAGAAACAATGGTAGAAACAATGGTAGAAACAATGTAGAAACAATGGTAGAAACAATGTAGAAACAATGGTAGAAACAATGGTAGAAACAATGGTAGAAACAATGGTAGAAACAATGGTAGAAACAATGTAGAAACAATGGTAGAAACAATGGTAGAAACAATGGTAGAAACAATGGTAAAAACAATGGTAGAAACAATGGTAGAAACAATGATAGAAACAATGGTAGAAACAATGGTAGAAACAACGGTAGAAACAATGGTAGAAACAATGGTAGAAACAATGGTAGAAACAATGGTAGAAACAATGGTAGAAACAATGTAGAAACAATGGTAGAAACAACGGTAGAAACAATGGTAGAAACAATGGTAGAAACAATTGTTATTCGCTGGTGATCATTGCCTACGAGTGCATACCATTGATTTTGTCTGAATGGATATTTCCATACAACAGGATATGTATGCTTGGTGATCGTCTTCTTGCGAGCAAAGCATTCAGTCAATGCTCCAAGAACGACACAGACATTAAGAAGTTGTTCCAGGATTCTTCATTCTGGAATGCGAGCCGTATCAAGGATATTGATGGCGCTCCGGGTCTTTCGAGCGGAGTCTTCGATGGTATGCTTATCAATGTTTTGATTTACGTGTTTCATCTCCCAAGGAGCTGTTTTCCTTGCATACAATACAGCAATAGGTGTTGACGATGCTGTTTATCCCCAAATCATTTCCTACATCTTATAGACAACGTGGATAGTCAATATTTAGACAAGAGTGAGGTTCACGTTGGACAGAAAGCTGACAACGATGAAGAAGTTCAATCCGACAGCAAAACATCCTTTTTCATCCTCCTTGCGATCTTTTTTCCTTCCGTCACAGGTAAAGAAAATCTCGCATTTGAAGATTGCTTTTCTCAGCCAATTCCCCTACCGTTTACGGGTATATTCGCAGAGTATTTGCAGCTCTGCGCATGTCTATACCACTCGCCATTTCCTCGTCCACCTCTGTAGGTATCATGGCAGGCTCTAACAGATCAGGTGATCTAAAAGATGCACAGCGATCCATACCAAAAGGAACGATTGCCGCCATTTTGACAACATCGACAGTTTGCATCCTTTTAAAACATATAAAACTCTAATTCTAATATAAACTTGCACTAAAATCTAAGCGTATTGAACTGTAATGAACAAAAGGAAACTATGTTCATCCACTTCACCATATCCCAGTGTATGAACTACATGCAAGAAAAATCCGCTTGTGAAATGAGAAATTAACAAGCAGCCAAAAGCACCTTCAGACTTTCAAAGCATTCTGCATTCAAGTTCTGTATGAGCCATGCATCCACACACAAAACCCCATTTCAAAAAACTTTTTATTTAAGCTTAACTTTTAGCCGAAGATCTCACGTCAGTACTTTTCTTTGCCGGCACGATAAAGGGGGCGCTTTTACGAGACAAGTAAGAATTTAACTTGCCCTTTTTAATTGAATGGAAATCCGAACCAAGGCTCAGCCAACTTTATGCAAATTTTCCGTGCAGGTTTGGTCAAAGCATCGGCAGTGTACTGCTTGTAGCGGAGATAGCGTGGCCAAGCAAATGGGTCATACTCATTGGCGCATTACTTTCTACCATCGGGGCTGGGATGCAAAGTTTAACTGGGTAAGTAAGATGCAGTACACTGGATTGTTCCAGTATGGGAGATCTTTTTTCAGGGGTGAAGGGTGAAAGGTACCGGGGGGTGTACTAAATACATGGTTTTCTCTCTGCAGTGCTCCAAGATTGCTTCAAGCCATATCACGGGACAATCTCATACCGTTTCTCAACCTGTTTTCCTATGCGTCCAAGAATGGCGAGCCAACTCGTGCTCTGTTTCTAACCGTTGCTATAGCTGAGATTGGAATTCTTGTTGCAAACCTTGACGCTGTGGCTCCTATTATCACAATGTTAGTATAATGATAGTGAAAAATGCTTCATCTATGGCGGAACAAAGATTCCAAAAAACCCTAAGCTAGTGGGCGATATTATCAAACTGAAGTAACTGTAGATGGTAGGTTAGAAAACCCAAAAAAGTGTATATGGTCTATGGAGGAACTACTCGCACCATTTTAGACATACAGTATTTCTCACACTTCATGGTAATCACAATCTAGGTTTTTCTTGATGTGCTATGGTTTTGTGAACCTCGCTTGTGTTCTGCAGTCTTTACTACAAACACCAAACTGGAGACCTCGTTTTAAATTCTACCATTGGTACGTATTCATCCACCTTAAGTGATGTTGTAAGATTATATGGTAACATGGGATCACAGGTGATGTTGGATTTTGTATTTGGTGATATTTTTGTTTAGGTTTGCTTCGCTGATTGGTCTCTGCTTGTGCCTCACTCTCATGTTTGTCTCCAGTTGGTATTATGCCTTGGTTGCTCTCATCGTGGCTGCTGGCATATACAAGTACATCGAATTTCAGGGGTAAGGTGGGCGCTGCGTACATGGATAAGGATTTGGTGCCATATATGTATGTCTGGATAAAAACTGCATGGATGATTTGGTGGCAAATACGTGGATAAATGCATGGGAGGACTTGGTGGAAAATACATGGATGAAGATATTTTTATTCTTCTCTAGTGCAAAGAAAGAATGGGGTGATGGTATTCGTGGTCTGGCTTTAAGTGCAGCCCGATACGGTTTGCTAAGATTGGAGGAGGGTGCCGTTCATACCAAAAACTGGAGGTATAGTATAAATCTCAAGGAAGATCGGGTAATAAAAACGAGTCAGAAACGCGACTTCCAAGTTCTAACAACCCAATGACGTTCCACCCTAGACCTCAGCTTCTTGTCCTTTGCAAATTGAACGATGATTTGAAACCGAAAACTGACAACATCTTTGCCTTTGTGGGGCAATTAAAAGCAGGTAACAGCAGCGTTTTAGACCTTTTATTCATCATAGAAAGAATTCTCTGGAATAACGAAATTTGAAGATTTCATTTGAAGATTTAGTTCAGGGACTTTGGAACAACCGGGCCTTCGTGAAAAGCTGGCTTCAGTTTCTTATATTGTTTTACAGGTCGTGGACTGACTATCTCTGCATCCGTTCTCAAAGGCGACATACTTGAGAGAAGCGAGGAAGTCGAAGTTGCCAAAGCTGTAAGACGCATGGATTAGGCAAAACTAAACATTTTCACTCCGAAACTTGCTTTTTTCTATTCGCAATGCAAATCACTTTTCTTTCCCGCCAGTGTTTGGATGAGCTAATGAAAAACAACAAAGTCCAAGGCTTCTCAAAAGTTATCGTCTCTAATGAAATAAACAGTGGTCTGTCGTTCTTGTAAGTGAAGACATATGTGTTGTTGTACATCGCCAAAATGATAAAACATTTTCACATCAAATGAATCTTGCTTTCGCTGCAGAATCCAAAACAACGGCTTGGGTGGTCTGACTGCAAATTCCGTTCTCATGGCATGGCCTGAAAACTGGAAAGAAAAAGACACTTGGAAGAAATTTGTCTGTATGAAAGAAAGACTCCTTTGCTAACTACCAGAAGCAGCTGCTAATTCTTTTAATATAAAGCCTTATATTGCATGCGAATATTCACCAAGCTGTATTGATTCAGTTTGCCAATCAGTGTAGAGCGATCAGTGTAGAGCGATCCAGGCACTATTAGCTCAGTGTGTTCAGGGTGCATTGCAAGCCAATGAGATAGACCACTTAGCTATATTTAAAGCATGCGACATTTCTTGAATCATATAGATACGTTACGCGTCATATCAAAGCGTCACGAGGCTCTTTTGGTGGCGAAGAATCTCGTTAGTTACCCAGGCAACGGGGAGCGCCTCGAAGGTACCATTGATATATGGTGGGTGGTGCATGATGGAGGAATGATGATCTTGTTGGTGTTTTTATTAACACAACATAAAGTGTGGAGACAGTGTAAACTGAGGATCTTCACCGTCGCTCGTATCCTTGATAGCATTTGAGTTGGTTCTAAAACCGACGAAGAGAAAAACAGAATCTACATTTGCCAATGTTTTCAAATCCAGGTAAAGTATTTGTGGTCTTGTTTTCATTAAAATCCCTGCAGATTTCGGCTGGATATGCAGGTTTTCCAGTGGGTAGGTTCCCCTGCATGAGATATCAAGATGGGGAACTTTCCGTAACAAACTGACAGAAATGCAAGACAACAGCGTTCAAATGGCAAAAGATCTGAAAACATTTATTTATCAACTCAGGATTAAAGCTGATGTGGAGGTTATCGAGATGGTAGGTCAGCTGTGTTGTGTCTTCCTAACCATTTCACGAAACCTTTTTAGAAACCGTTTCCTGCGCAAAGGAGTCTTTGTTTTTCGTGTTATCGATTTCTCAGTTACAGCTGCAATTTTTTTCAATGCTTTCTTCAGGTGGACACAGATATAGAGGCGTACACATATGAAAGAACGCTGGTGATGGAACAAAGAAGTAAAATGTTGAAAAAAATGAGACTGACGAGGAAGGAGAGTAGAAAAGAGGTATGAATGCAAACGAGGTTTTTGACCAAAGTCTCGAAATGGACCTCAGAGAATTTTCTCTCCTCTACCATTTTTCCTCCTAAACCCACTCCCCACTTTCCCGCCCACTGTACCCATTCCAGTTAAGATCAACTCCTTCACCTTATCCTCGTAGGTTCAAGCCATCGTTGAGACACACCATAAAACAAAACCCAGCAACACACCTCGTCCACCAGACACACCCGTCCCCAGCATCCAAGTACACACCTCCTCCTCAACCGACACTAGTGAGAAAGATGGGGAAAAACGCAAAAAAGAACACCCGTAAGTGTTAACGCCATAGTCTCCAGAACTGTTTCGTCAGGATGTTATAAATTTCTGACTAGATTTCTCCTTCTCAGGAGCAAGATGAATTTACAACGGATGGACAATGCGGTCAAGTTGAACAAGCTTATCCAAGAAAAGTCATCTGAAGCTCAATTACTTCTGCTGAATTTACCACCTCCAGCAAAAAACGAGTCTGGCGATTATCATTGTATCCTTTGTTTGGCAATGTTTTCAGTTGCTTTTCCAGGCTTAAGGGGAATCTGAACGCGTAGTTCTAAAAGTCCACAAACACCTCGTTTATACCTACATGGCTCGAATATTTTAATCCAATGTTTTAACAATCGACGATAGGTAATCTTTTCTAACAACACCACACTTGAAATTGTAAACCTTCTTTACCTTAATGCTGTCTTCAGACATGGAATTTGTCGAGGTTATGACAGAAGGATTAAAACGAGTTCTTTTAGTGAAAGGAAGCGGCCACGAAGTCATCACAATCTATTCATGATTTGCAAACTCATGAACACTATAGATCATATGAAATAAACCAACCGTCGTCATAGTGCCATATACATACGTGAATCAGAACAAACAAAAGATGCATAATTTATAGATTCGTTTTTCAATTGTTGTATACATTGTTCGTTCAACGAAACGTCATAAAGAAAGGTTTTATTTTAGTTACAAAAATATAGTTTAAAAATCTGCACAGCATTCTAGTATGCTATATTTGGACTAGCAGAATATTTTCAAATGTAGATGTGAGATGTTTTGGTTATGAAACTGCTAATTGAAATGCTTGGCTTAACGGCTAACGCTCTTTTGGCGTCGAGGTCTGGTTACCCTGGTAAGCTGATGCACCAAAATTATTTTCTCTTCTAATTAACCTTTGTTATGCACTAGTGATTCGCCATGTTAATTTCCCTCCATGTTTCCTTGAAACAACGTCAGCAGGAAACAAGATTTATTTCCCAGGAAGCAAAATTGTTTCCAATATCAGAATCAGACTCTTATCTTAAGCGTGATTCATGTAGTGGAAACATTGTTCGCTGCTCCTTTTTCCTGTAGGCAACTCTGTTGTTGTGCCACAGATATTGTTTATACAGATATTACTACAGATATGTACTAGTATGCTGACTATAGTGTACAAGAGTCTTACCTTTGAAACAGCTGAAACAATGTGCAGGTATGTTAGTCTACATCCGCATTTTGCAGTGAAGATGAAGTCTCGGTGTCCTCATATGAAAGTCTGGATGGTTTTGTCAGCCTTTCAGCTAACTTTCGACGCAGTTCTCTGACATCAGCCATGAGTTCAATCTCTCTCTTTTCAAACGTTGCTCTCTGTCTTTCTAACGAGGGACCTGCAATAACAAGAACTCACGTTACTTATTTTGTGACAGAAAATCCGGCCGTTTCTTCGCTTTAGTCATTGGCCGCAGGCTTCTACTCCAGATATAATATATGGATCTCGCTGGCTTCGACCAACAAAATAAGATGATCTCAATTCTACGTACCTGACACTTCCCCCGTGTCCCTAGACGGTGTACTATAATCAGACTGCGTATTAAGATGTCTTAATCGGCGTTCCTCGTCCATCCTCGCAAGGTATTGCTGTCTGCCCAGTTCGGCAGCCTTGCTACGACGTATACCATCCTAAGACAGTTGAAAATAACAAGGAATATGAACTTATGATGTGAAAGAAAGACATATGACAAACATAGTGTATCTTGCAGGCAAAACTTGTGGGACAAAACAATCTTGTATGTTATAGTGAAAACTGTGTGACGTAGGGACATTGAAGGACGTGTATCATTTACCCCGAACTACCCCAAATTACTTCAAATTCAGATGATAACATCGTTGGAGCATTTCGTAGGTTGAGGCATACCTCTTTCTCCTTTGAGTCTTCAATCAATTTCGCTATTTCCCCTTCTCTACTTTTGTTTTCAAGAATACGTTTGGTCAACTAAAATGGACAAGATAAAATTACGGTCGCTTTAGCTACAAATTCAAGGAGATTGGGCCAAAATGTTGGGGGTTGAGACAGACACACTTCTTGTAATTTATACATTGTATATCTCAGAGGAGGTTATCTTTATTGTAATACCTGTGTTTGTTGCAACTCCGTTTCCATGTCGTCCAGTCTTTTACGAAGCTCCAGATCAGTTTGCGTTTCCAAATCCAGGTTTCTCTGTTGCGAATTTCCCAAGCGGGCGTGTTTCACCTGAACGCATTAAAGTGAAATTGTCGATGCTAGTCATCCAATGCTCAAAAATATAGTAAATAAAGTTTCTCGAAACCCAGAGGCCTTCGCTAGTAAAACTTCCTTTTAATTTTTCCAACTAGTAATCTCTAATTGTGTCGAAATATCGTGAAAAGTTCTATATTTTAGTCCTTTGAAGAAGCGAATTTGGTTGGACGATATTTTGGAGAAAAGATTCCTGTTTCTATTGAAGAGTATTTGAGCATCCCAAACTAGTATGTATTCGTAAAACGTTAAAAAGTTATCATACCATATTGTTATTCAAATCTGTTTCCTCTCTCATTTCTGTTGCACGACGAAATAGCTCGTCCTCAAGCTCTTTCTGACGTTGGTGTGATTCAAAACCGGCTCTCAACTCAAAGGTTGCTTTCACGTCCTTCTTTGCCAACTCCTGTTGTGCGGACAAAACACCAGCTCAAACAACGTGACATCGTAGTCAACAGAGTTGAATATAAGTAATTATACTTGTTGGTACACCACGTAAGTATTTAATACTGCAAGCATCATCCTTGTGTACCTACAAGCATAATTACTTATCGATTGTCACCATGCAAACATACAAGAATAGAGTTGAATATGATCCTTTCTTTCGACGTTTTCCAAATGGGGATGGGAACCCAATAAATTGCTATACCACTAAACTAGACTCCCCATTAGACTATATTTATTTAGGTAATAATCGAGCATATTTTCTTCCAAATTTGCTGCGATTGTAACGCAGGCGAAATTTGGGTACGATTTTGACCTTCCCTCTCACCCCACCCTATTTTCTTGCCCCTTTTCCGAAACTGGGAAGTGGGTTCACGCATGAGACTGCATGGGCAGATATTAATGTTCAGGGGCCGGTTGTATAAAGCCCGTTTAGCTTAATCGGTGGATAAGTCAAAATCAAATAACACTCTTACAACTCTTTTGAATGAGTCAATGTGAATATTATGCACTGAATATGTAGTTTTAAACAGTATCTTTGTATTAAGGTTAAAAACATTTAGTTTGCCTGTTAAATAAAACCACAGACTTGCTTTCTGTTTTGAACTTATCAACCGTTTAAGCTAAACGGGCTTTATACAACCGACCCCAGGAACATATACATCCAGTTAACAGTACATACGTGTTGAAGCGCCTCTTTCTGGGCTTGCAGTTCCAAATTCTTTATTTCAATGTCATCCAGAGCTGCTTGGGTTTCCTGCTCTCGTTGCATTGCCTGGAAATAAGTGTGATTGATCAATTGAATGTATATTCTATGTTTTTACATGATTGGGCTAAAATCATTTGATTGAGACAAAAGAAAGTGAGGCGGTATTGCCTTGTCTTTTTACAATATCCATGAGGGGTGTAAACCAGGGGGGTGTAAACCAGGGGGGTGTAAACCAGGTATAACAGGACACGAAGTCTCTTACAAGATAGTACGCCTTTATTAGTTCAATCCAAATGAAAATTATATTTGTAATCAAAATAAACTGCTTTAGAATCATTTATATTAAATAAACTCTATTAGAATAAATTGTTCAACACAAAACTACACTTTCCAAAAGCTAAATAATTTATTCAATTAAATTGAACGAAATGAACTACTTTTAGGCATAGTTCATACGCCGCATTTTAGTCGCGTCGAATGCAATTCAAACAATAAATAATAAGATGATAATGATGATAATGAGATGATAATGAGGCTGAATGAAGTTTACCATCTCATTGTCTATTGTTTGAATTGCATTCAACTAGGCCTTAATAAACTATCCTCGATACTTAAAGATAATCTACTTTGTTCCAATCTAGCGTTTGTTCTCCCTCCTAGAGTCTCTCAAATGAAATCGCCTAAATCAATTGTATATTACGCTGCTGATGAAATGTCATGTTATTGTTTTCAAGAATCTTGCGTGAGCAATATCTCCTCTTCATCAAAACGCGACTGTTCATTTTCATCAAAAAGATCTTCTCTTAAAGAACCCAAACTTTCCCCATCATCTCCGTTGACGAAACAGCATTGAGGTAGCCTATCGTACTTGTACAAGCAGTTGGCGATACTGCAAAAAAACATCACGATGGACAGCCACCCGAATAAGTGCCACATCACGGCTGTTGTAACCACTTCGGTGTCAGAGGCGAGTTGCTTCTCCGTCAAATCCCTGGTCGCGTTTCCAAACCATTTGTTCGCACCAAACTTGGTATAAGCAATCTCCCAAAACCACGTTCCTTGCGTGAGCACGAGAACGGTTCGGGCGACGAAGAGCTCGCGTCGAAACCTCGGTAAACACGCTTCGAGAAGAACGACCAGAGCGGCCAAATATATGATGATGTATAATAGCGTGTGAATACGCACGTCAAATATATCACGTCCGTGTAAATGGAATGCAAACAAAGTGCCTTCCACGGCAAATGCTAACGCTAGGAGCGTATACTCTGCTTCTTTTGAAAACTTTACAACTTTGTACACGTTGAATATTTCGACCAAGCCAGAGAATGCAAAGAATGCGTACATTGTGGCATGCGAGAACCTATTTGGCCGCGTGAATTCATCCTTTGCGTTGACCAGTTGAAAACGTAAAGTGCCAACTTCAGCAATGATGCCAGCCAAACAACCAAGTAGTTTAAACCCTGGTTCAAACGGAATGCTTCGAAAACGCTTCCACGGTAGGCGTCTCCATGAACCAATAACTATGTCAGAGTCGTCCATTCTATTCTTCCTCTTTTCTTTAAAGCCAGCTGCGTAATCCAACACGACATGGAACAACCACCATAAACCGATAACGATAAATATACTTCCAGGCAGAGCATGACCTGCGTACGAACCCATTTCGTGTCTTTAAAATATCCAACGTGTATTCACTAGTATTTGATGTTTACAAAGAAGAAAGTATAATTGCTAATAATAGCCCAATTTAGTGACTTATGCAAATCGGACCAAGGCCGACCAACTATCGGCCTTTACGTTTGAAATATGTTTTGGAACTTTGTAAGTGGGATTCCCCTTGTAATGTAATACCTTTTAAAAGAGAAAAAAACTTTGAATTCTGTGTAAAGATTTAGCTACGATTATTCCTGATTGTGGATGAACTTATTTTATTACACGTAAAATGATATCATCAATCCTGACTATATATATACGTCATCGGCTCGATATACGCACGCTATACCGACGAAGCAACTGTTCGGGCGAATTTTTATCGAAACATATAGTGTTTTTTTTTTAAATAAAGTAGATTTATTCGCAGATAGTTCGTCTGTTCGGCTGGCTTTCAGACACTGACAGGGATTATCAGACAAACCAAACACAGTATTTTTTCCCCTAGCTGACAAACGTATCGATGCTTGTCGTACAAATCAAGTAGCTTACTAAAATTAGCACAAAATATTCAAAACGGGCACACGCGTGCATATGCATAGGAACACTTTCTCAATATTGGCCCGGGCTTGTTGACAAAAAAAGGCAGTCAAATTTCAACTACAGTTGAAAATGACGTCTTGGTATACGTCACTAGACTACTACCTTGATATTAGTGCCGAACGAATGACCACGGGGGGAGGGGAAAGGGGAGCAGTGATGTCAGTTTAGTTTTAGCATACAAATTCAAGACTGATAACATATTTAAAACAGGTATTTGTCACCAGAATACCTCGATATTGGTAAAGAAACATAGAAGAAAGAATAGACAACAGTAGTAGACAATAGTAACATCCAATCAACAGGAGTTTGACAGAAAAAGCATTTTATTTTTATCCAAAAGTATTTCATCATACTGCGTTCAAAAATGCCTGGTTTCCATTTGTCGTGAGTGTCGTGAACATGTCAAGGTGGCTGATGTGATGGAGTATTTATATGAGTGCGCAGTCAACAATGACCGATTTAAATACAGAAATAAAGACAAATTTACATCCGGACTATTTCTCATCTGTGAAAACGACTTCTTCGTGACTCAACCAGGCATAAGCAAACATTGATTTCAACTATTTTCTCCCGTAGCGGCATGTGTTATTGAAATCGTTATCGAAATTTTCCTCATCGAAGACTGTAAAAAAATTGATGCCTATTCAAATGCAAATTTACTGTAAAGCTGCAAGTGACAGAACTGAAGAGAATCATTAAATAATTTAGAACATAAATCTTGTTCCTTTCAGGAGTCCAAATATTCATTTGATGTTAGGGAGATTTAGCATAGAGGACGTGAAAATGGTGAGTAAATGGCGTGGCATGTCCATATTTGGGCGCATCACGCCATTTATTCGCCATTTTCACGTCGTCTTTGACGTTCACGTCCTCATGCTAGATTTCCCTAATGAAACTGCCGTCAACTACACGACCAGTTAGCCACTTTGTATAAGTTCGCGAGAGGAATTTACAAAGCGATGCTGAGCATTGACCCATGCAATGTGACGTGTTAAATGGGCAAATTTACATATAACCCCATACCACAGGCAGGATTTCGATTTATGATATTTTATGTAAATAATCGTGCGAACGAGTTCTCAAGTTCTGCTATAGAGTTGCTATATTGTTTGAATCGTTAGTTCGAAGTTGAGATTCATTATTTCATTTCAGCGCATGTTGGCATTGACAACAGCCGTTCAACACTATAAATTGTAAGTGATATTATCCCATAAGCGAGAGAATTCCTATGTACTTTTAGAGTTTGTTATAATCCAAACAATTTATAGTTTGTTATAAATTAAGGGATGTAAATCGCCTACGGCCGCTGAAAGGTATACGCTGAAGTTAATTAAGACGATTTGAGATCATCCACATCGGTGAAACGGTAAACGAGTTGCGAAGAAACGAGATGGGGTCGTTTGAGGGACATGCTTTGCCAGGGAGTCTGTTCATTGCCTTCGGTTTATGGTGGCTGGTTCATGTTATTCTGGACTATGCAAAATATTTGAAAAGACAGAATAATCGGGGTCAAAGCTCAAACATCGGATCATGGAGACGATTTCCAACCAGACGATTGAGAAATGTTCCGTTGGAACCAGGATTGAAGCTTGCTGGTACCTTCGCAGGAATCATCGCTGAGCTCTTTGCGATTCACTTTCGACTGGTCGACGAAAACAACGATTTCGTAAAGCCCGATAAATTTGCTCACTCTACGATGTACGCTTTCTTCGGATTTTCCGGCCTGATAGAGATTTTCAATCACTACAGAATTACACATTTCTCAAAAGAAGCAGAGTACATCATCCTTGGGTTAGCCTTTGCCGTGGAAGGCACTTTGTTTGCATTCCACCTACACGGACGTGATATATTTGACGTGCGTATTCACACGCTATTATACATCATCATATATTTGGCCGCTCTGGTCGTTCTTCTCGAAGCGTGTTTACCAAGGTTTCGACGCGAGCTCTTCGTGGCCCGAACCGTTCTCGTGCTCACGCAAGGAACGTGGTTTTGGGAGATTGCTTACACCATTTACGGCGCGAATAAATGGTTTGTATACGCAGACAAGGATTTGACGGAAATGCAACTTATGCTCGACACTGAAGTGATGACGATTTCCATAATGTGGCACTTATTTGGATGGCTGACCGTTGTTCTGTTTTGTTGCATTTCAACGAATTGCTTGCACAAATACAAAAGGATTCCTAGTTGTTGTTTCGACAACGGAAATACGGAGAGAGGTTTGGGTTTGCTGAACGAGAAGCTTTTGAAAGAAAGTGAAATTGAGTTATCGGATGAAGAGGAAATATTAATCAAGCGTAGCCAGGAAGAGACCATGAACTTGACATCTGAATTTCTGAATAACAATAGCGTGGAGGAAGACTTATTTTGAATAGCTTTGATGAGAAAAAACGTTAGAGAAATGTATTTTTGTATTACAGCTGAAACTTAGCTTCTACGCGATATGCATATTTCAAATGTGATTTGTTCAATTAATTAAATTCCCTAGAAAATTCTATATAAAATCTCGTCGACATGACTGTTATTGTATGTCTGTATCTAATACAAAACCTTGCGCAGAAATATAAAATTCATACGAGTTGCTTTTCATGCACCGCCAATCCATACACTTTCTTACACTTACATTTTGAGAACTCTTCACTCATTTACATCGCTTTAAAATAGAATAGCATTGCAAGTTGCACGAAAAATTGCACCGTGTAACACAGCCTTAAGTGCTTCATTTAAATTTTTGTGTACTTTTAATAAAGTTCGATCTATGTATTTATTTTTGACGTTCTGGCATTTGTGAACGTCTTTCAAGTGCAGGTTGGATCTTAAAACCGGCTCCCGCTGTTTTTGTTGATGTGTTTTGGCATACGGCTGCGTTTGTTGCAAAAAATGTCACAAACTCTTATACCTTATTACCTTTCTACACAATTTTAAGTCGAAGAGTAGAACCTTTTATAGCGGACAGATGACGTAATACCAAGGTTTCCAAAACGTTTTTATTAACTATTTGTAAACACGTAATAATTTAGGTTATTAATTGTACGTAATTTGCTATCGTACGTGTAATGTGAAACCCACGCTTAACTTAAAAAACATTAGAACAAAATTATATTAAGCTGCTCCATGCATGGACGAATATAATCCTGGAAAAAGATCTTTTCAGCAGGACGAAAAAAAAACTAGTCGCTACAGAGAAAAGTGCTAGGGCAATTCAAACGATTTATGAGGTTTATTATTAAGCTCATTATTTGTTTGAATTGCATTCGACGCGACTAAAATGAGACGTATACGTAACCCAGGCCTAAAAAACTATAGTGTATAACGGAAAACGTTTTATAACCCCATATATATACATTATACATCGTTGAACTAAAGGGTATCGTTTCTGTGTCTGATATCAGTATCAATACGTCTTTGAACAGAGTCCAGAAATTGATTTAGGTTGCGTTTCAAGTTTCTTGCCGTCATAAAGTACAGGAAAGGATTGCAACAAGAGTTGAGAAAGCTGAAAGCCATTATCCATCGCCAGGTCTCCTGTCTCTGAGGAACCGTCAAGGATTTATCTGCGGTTGATACGACACGATACACTGTGTACGGTAGAAAGGTGGCGTAGCAAAATAAAACAATCGCAAATGTCGTCCAGGAAATCTTGAGCGAGCGCTCTTTGAAAAGGCTTTCAGCTTGCTTCACCGACCTTAGTATCATTACATAGACGATCAGAATTGATAGAAGTTGACAAAAGGATAAAAACGACAGGAAAAGCTCGTAGCTCGAGTGAAAATCACCCATATCCCCCCAACTGAATCGATGCCCAACTCCTAAAACCAAAGCGATTATCCACGATAAAGCAATCACGTAGTTCACGAGCTTGTTCGTGACGAGTACTCGGTGTCTGAACGGTAGAAGAATGGCGAACAACCTCGACAGAGTCATCACCAATACAGCGTTTCCCGTGCAAAATAAGCAGAAGACATAAAGCGATGTGTAGTAAGGAGAATGCTTGGTCACTCGTCTCAAGTACAAGAGGTATGCTCGCCATGGAACGTAGGTAGTCAACGCCACGAAATCTGCTACGGCCAAGTTTAAAATCAGCTTGTCGAACGGCTTGAAAGGCTGTTTTCGCCTCAGCACAAAAAAGACGATGACAACGGCGTTTGCGATCGAGCCAACCGCGCACTGAATTGACGTAAAGCTCACGAGAAATATGGATTCCGCAGAACTCTGCAGAAACAACGCTTCCTGAGCTGTGCTGTTCGACATTACGCTGGAACAGCTGAAGCTCAATTAGGACAGAGCGTTTTTTGCACATGCAGTAGTTGATAAAAAGTACCTGCTATAATCTATTATTCATTTGGAGGAGAGACTTTAACGCCTATTTCGTGTCACAAGGTTGTAAATCTTCCCATAAAAAAAATTACAATGATTATTTTCGCAAGAGTGCAAGCAGCCGATTGGGAAGTTCTGTGACAAAAATACGCTCATTAATCACGCAAGACTTATCGCTGTCAAAACTCATATAGACGCAGGGGGCTTAGAATTAAAAATATAAAAGAAATTGTCAATGTGCCATGTCTGACACACTGCTGTGTTTGGAAGATTAATAAAACGCCAAAGAAAATGTTCTAAACACCAAAAATAAGAGCATGAAAAAATAACGATGGAAGGCAGTGAAAAGACCTAAAATTTTCCATGGTCTTAATTTACCAATTTTTTTAAAATTTACAACAGACAATGATGAAAAAATGATGATGTTTAAAGTTAGATTTTGCGTCGATATTATGATGCCTCTAAAATATTAATGTCCATGGATACAAAATTGAGATTGCAATCAGCAGAGGTGAAGATTGTTAATTACTATCATTCATGCACTTATTCAAGCTTGTAATTCTCGTTCACGCTTAAATTGGGAATAGATGAGATGAATTTTGTCGATTAATGATTAGTTTCACACGATTAGCTGTGTTCCTATGATGCGACGTGATCGACGATGTGATATTTCAAATGTCATTTATTTAATTAAATAAATTCTTAGAAAATTCTTTAAAAAAAAACTTGACATGACTGTTACTGTAGCTACGTCTATAATTCAAAACCATGCTCAGAAATATGAAATTTATACAAGTTGCTTTTCACTGCCATACATGCACCTAATTACTAAACTCTGTGAACCGAAACGATAAATTGGTCACTATCTTTGATGCAATTTGAATTGGCACCAGTGCCAGTCCATTTCTATTGTTTTTGTCTTCACGGTAGACAATCGCGCGGAAAAAATTGATAAAAAGGGACTGGTACTGAATTCGACTTCAAATTGGCTTCCAAGATGGCGGCCGGATAACTCATTGAGATAACGGATAGCGTTTTTTTAGATTTCGTCAGGCCTTGGCTATTACAAGCATATACAAGAGCCGAAAGGAAAAAACCCTTTGGACAGGTTTACTTGAATACAAAAAAACTTTAACTGAGTAATATATACCTCTACAAAAAGTCCGACGTAGCGGTTTGAAATCGAAGCATGTTTCTGATTGGTCAATGCCAATTGCTTTGACCAATCAGGAACAGGCTTAATTCGCAGACTACGTCACAGCGCATGCAGACTTCTTGCTGCGGAGCGAGCGAGCCTGAAGCGAGCGAGCGTAGCAGCAGTCTAATTGGCGCAGTAGGCAGTGAAAAGCAAATTTTTAGGGTTGCGTTGCATTGTGGTTGTGCGCAGTGACGCAGTTGTATCAGGCCTGCTTGTATGCGCAGTTGTGCACAAATTAATCTCACGTTTCAGTGATATGGATTAAATACCAATATGGATTAAAAGTCAAACGTCCAAGTCTGGAAGAGGACCAGATTTAACATACATTCTGTTCTTCATTCACTTTTGTTTTCATTTATTATAAAATTGACAGTTGCTTGTCGTTTTGCCTGTTTTCTACTGTAATTTGTTTTGATTCACAATATAAATATTCGTGCATTGATGTCTTGATTTTTCGTTTAGCATATACAGCATTGACTATCAAATCGTATTTTAAGTATATTGTCGATTGTTTTGCCTGTTTGGACTTATATTTTGACTCAGTGTTGATAATCCAAGTTTATTTCTTCATCTTTGTCATTGCGCCTCGTGTTTCATCGTCATAGTGTGCCTGGGCAGTCTCGGCCGTATTCGAATTTAATTTCTTTGAACTATTAAACTGTTCGTTTCTCGGTTTCATTTGCACTACGGTACTGCGCTTAACTCAGTGTGAGCCCTGTGAGGTTTACTAGGGGTAAAAAGCTCAGTAAAACCTGCAATTTAGTGTTTAAAATTAAAAATCCAAGTGTTATGTTTTACATATTTGTCATTGCGGCTCGTGTTTCGTTGTCGCTTGCCGCATGTAAATACAGTAGATGAGTAGCAATTCTTTGAAGGAACTGATTATATCTTCGATTTCATTTGCACCTCTGCGCTTGATAGTATTTCCTATTTTATCTTATTGTTAGACCACAATTTAGTTTAATACTCCAAGTTTATTTTTATATCTTTGTCATTGAGCCTCGTGTTTCATCGTCATAGTGGGTCTGGGCAATCTGCCATATACGAAAATACAGCAAACGAGTATAGCAATTCTTTGAACTATTTAAGGCAAGACGACGATGCCGAAGGGTCGCCGAATACATCAAAGGTGGATTACATTCTTATTTTGTTGACTTTAGAGTTTAGTTCAGGCCCTGTTACACGATGCAATTTTTTTGCAACTTGCAATACAACCCTACTCTTGAGAAATGTAAAATGCCAAAGTACGTGTTTTGCGTTGATATTTTTCCAATCCATATGGCATATCTTCATTGACTTCACTGATTTCAAGCAGAATTCCAAGTTGCAAGAAAAATTTCACCTTAACACACCCTTTGTTAAATTAGTTGCGACGTGATCGTGTGACACATATTTCACAAATTTCAAAGCTTTTGTAATAAAATTTAACAATTGTACAGTTTTGCCAATCCTGTTCTTATATGATATTTGGTTCAATTTGTTTTTAATGCCCGCAGCTATCCCTACCTTGCAGGTAACCCAGTTATATATAGGATATTATTATATGCATGGGGCCTGATGGGTATTTTACTGAGAACTAAAACACTTGTAGGAAATACGCCACGACACTTGGGGTACAGAGCGGATATTTTCTGTATGTCACGTTCACTGGTCACGTTTAGGGGCGACATATTAAGTGCTTCATTTCAATCCTGTGTACTTTTAACGGCATATGGCTGCGTTTGTTACGAAAAAAGTCTTATCCCTTTCTACACGATTTTAAGTCAAAGACTATAACCTTTTATAGCAGACAAATGACGTTAATATATCAATGTTCCCAAAACTTTCGTAACTATTTGTATAATAATTTAGGTTATTAATTGTACGTAAATTGCTATTGCACGTGTAATATGAAACCCATGCTTAAATTAAAAGGGAAATTTCTAAC